AGTGCCTCCTGCGCACCGCTGAATAGCTGATCCGCAGCGGGCTGGAGGGGGGAGCTGATTGGCTGGGCCACCGATGGGTCCTGAGCACCCACTATTTTTTTTTCTGTGGGTGCTCCAGCCATGGAGCACCCAGAGAGTCGGTGCCTATGAATTTTATATTTGGCTTCTGACATGTGGGTTGGTTTGAAACCAAGCATCTTTGGCGTGATGTTTCTATTCGATACATATAACCATGAGCAACCTCTTCCTCTTAAATGTGGCATTTCTTTAATGGCGTAACCTGGTCACAGCAGATGCCTCTTTAACTGTTTGTTAATTAGACACCCCGTCCCAGCGAGTTCAGTTTATCCTTGGTATGGAGGAGGACGAGGAGCACGTTCCCCATGATTTGTTCACAGAGCTGGATGAAATCTGTGTGAAAGAAGGAGAAGATGCCGAATGGAAGGAAACGGCCAGGTGACACAAATCTATATACCCCACCGGCTCAATGAAACTGAATGTGTTTTCATGACCTCCCATCAGGCTGTGTTTTTGGGACCATTTCCTTGAGGTGCTGCCCAATGATACCACCTGCTGGAAGAAGAGATGCTGCTGCTAGACGGGGCTTTCGTAGTCTGTCACTTCCAGAGTGGGACTTGGTAAAGAGGTGGGGGAGGAAGATACGATGCAGATCCCTTGTATATAGCACAGCACCTCTGCTTTTTCATGCACCTCCTATGTAATAACAGCATGTGGAAGAATCAAAGGGAGGCATGTTGATATACAGACGTGGGGAGGCAGGATGGTCCAGTGATCAGTGTGTTAGCCCGGGCACATGGGAGACCCGGGTTCATATCCCTGCTCCGAGACAGGCTTGCTGTGTGACCTTGGGCAAGTCACTTAGTCTCTTTCTGCCTCAGTTTCCCATCTGTAAAATGGGGACGGTAGCGATGCCCTGCATCACAGGGGCTTGGGAGGCTAAATACATTAAAGACTGAGAGGTGCTTATGTACTAGGATAATGGGCACCATATAAGATAGAAAGGCATGGATGTTGCGAGGACAAATGCTTTAAAGATTGAGGCGTTTGTGCACTATACTAAGAAGATGAGAACGGCCAGACTAGATCAGAACAATGGTCCATCTAGCCCAGTATCCTTTCATCTGACAGTGGCTAATGCCTGATGCGTCAAAGTAAATGAACAGAACAGGGCAACCATCAAGTGACCCATCCCCTGTCGTCCAATCCCAGCAGCTGATGTGCCCTATGTAAAATAAATATAAAATAGACCCTTCAGCACATGCTTAGAGCTGGTGAAAATTTTTGCGTCAGCTGCTTAAAAAAACAAAACGTGCACTTGATCGTCTTCCCTTCTCCAGCTTTGAACCGTTAACTGAGTTGTCTATGGGATAGATTTCATACACAGCTCTGTATCTCTGCCACACCTGCTTAAGAGTCTTTTCACGGGAACTGGTCACTGCCGGTATTTATTGGTGTTTGGTTTGCCGTGCTTCCAGGTGGCTGAAGTTCGAAGAGGATGTGGAGGACGGAGGAGAACGCTGGAGCAAACCCTATGTAGCGACACTTTCATTACACAGCCTCTTTGAGCTGAGGAGTTGCATCATGAACGGGACTGTCCTTCTGGATATGTGCGCCAACAGCATCGAGGAAATTGCAGGTACTGCTCTACTGAGCGATCAGCTGCGTCTTGTCAGAGAAAAAAGCTTCAGGGAATATCCTTGTACGTTTTTGAATGAAATAAATTCTCTTTGCACCATGTTTGTTCCTGCAAAATCCTCGGTAGGGATGTCATCAAAACAGCAAATGTTCAGCAAATATATTAGAATATGCACAGAAACCGAACTTTAGATTTGGAATCATGATTTTTCCACCCTGAAATCCTGATTACATTCATCTAATCAAGGTCCAGAAACAGACCATGTGACAATCAAAAGAGTGCACCTTTCAAATATCAAATTCTCTCATGTTTTACAGACCTACAATTATTCAGAGAAATAATCTGGAGAATAACTTCAGATAACAGAAATGAGTCTAATAGGTTAACATGCTATTGTTGTACTAGAAGTGTATGTCTGGACCATTTGGGGTCAGAAAAAGAGGTAAAAATCATTGAATAAACTATTTGTTATAAATAATTAACCTAAGTTTATTCTGTTTTAAGCAGGGGCAGCTCCAGGAACCAGCGCAGCAAGCGTGTGCCTGGGGCGGCAAGCCGCGGCGGGCAGCCTGCCAGTCGCTGTGAGGGCGGCAGGCAGGCGGCTTTCGGCAGTATGCCTGCGGGAGGTCTCGGTCCTGTGTCTTTGGCGGCAATTCGGCGGCGGGTACGCCGAAGCCACGGGACTGGCAGACCTCCCGCAGGCGCGCCGCCGAATCCACGTGACCAGTGGACCGCCCGCAGGTGCGCTGCCGAAAGCTGCCTGCCTGCTGTGCTTGGGGCGGCAAAAAACGTTTTAAGACGTGGGAATCTGTGTGAACTATGCAAGTTCTTTAAGGGCTTATCTACACAGGAAAACAGTCCAGAATAGCTATTGCAGGCTAGCTATTCTAACTCCCCATGTGGACACTTTTATTCCACACCAAGGGTGCTTGTATCTGGTTTAATTTAATCCTCTTTGAAAATGGATTAAGCTAAACTGCAAAAAGGCACTCTTAGCATTTGCGTACACATGAAAATTAATCCGGAATAAAGTAAGGTATACATTTAAAGTGTAATAACTATTCCTGATTGATGCCATGAGTGGACCCTTTTATTAGTTTAATCCAAATAGTTTGGATTAAGATAAGTACATTATAAATAATTCAGAATATTGCATTCTTACTCTGGGGTAAGAGCATCCACACATGAAGATAATAGGAATAGTTAATCCTCTTTAAATTCATGCCCCAATCTTATTTTGGATTGGTTTTCATATGTGGGCCAATCCTAATTCCGCATTACCTTAATCCATTTCCAAAGTGGATTGAGACGATTCAGAATAAATCAGAATAGTCAGTTTGGAATAACTCCCCATGTAGATAAAACCTTACTGTGGAATAGGCGTGTCCACATAGAATAGCTATTGCACTTTATATTCAGTCCCTACTTTATTTTGCAATATGTAGACAAGACCTAACTTTCAAAGCCAGGGTTCCTTTGGCAGATGGCCAAGTAATACATTTCTGTTGAGGAGATAATTGAGGGTAATTGAGGAAGCAGCTTTGTAGAAATTATTTTTGATTGGCAGGTCTCCATTCAAACTCTTCCAAGGTCTGGTGATGTCAGATCCGTTCTTAGCACATTCCTCCCCGAGCACTGCCAGTTACAGTCAATTATCCAAGAAATCTCAGGGAAACCAGTTATAGACTGGTTATAATTTGGTTAAATGTGTAGAGCAATGCAATCAGGAAAGAAAACTGCATTACTGAGGATGGGGAATAATAACTGCATTAGCTAAGCAGTGAATAATCGTTTCGCAGGGACTTTTTAGCACAGAAAAATCCCTGCCTTCGTTGAAAGACAAAGGATATGTGTACACAGTGGCTGGGAGTGTGCTTCTCTGCATGGTTAGACAGACATGTGCTAGCTCTGCTTGAGTTAGCTGTCTGAGTAAAAGCCCTATCCCCTGGGTATGTACTCAGACGGCTAGCCAGAGTCACTGCGCGTGCCACCATGGCCACACTGCTACTTTTAGCACGCTAACTCGAGCAGAACCAGCGTGTGTCTGTCTATCCATGCTGGAAAATACATTCCCAGCAGCTGCGCTGGCATACCCAAAGACGTATTAACAATGCTACAATGTCTCCCTAAATAAGATCGCGTCGGCATTGGTTGGCTCTTCCGTCTGGCAGTAGAAACGCTCTCCTATGAGGCGTGCTTATTCCCGGCTCATCGTGGGTTGAGACGATCACAGGTTTTGTCCCACCGCTGTTTGCTGGCTGTCTGGGGCTGTAGTGATTCTTGGAGTGAGTCCGGGCTCCACCGAAGTTACAGTCTCACCCTCTCTCTTCCTCGGTGTTTGGAAAGCATGTAGCCCGCTGTCAGCACGACTGCAATACGAACACGAGGGGGTGGTTTGCAGGGGGGAAGGATGATCTTGGGAATCTTCACCAGGAAACAAAGGGGAAAGGTTTAATTCTCAGCTCAGGCAAGGGCTTGAAGGGGGCACTTAATCTGTGTGGTACCTCCGTTTTCCCCATGTGTGAAATGGGGATAGTCCTTCATAGAATCATAGAATATCAGGGATGGAAGGGACCTCAGGAGGTATCTGGTCCAACCCCCTGCTCAAAGCAGGACCAATTCCCAACTAAATCATCCCAGCCAGGGCTTTGTCAAGCCTGACCTTAAAAATCTCTAAGGAAAGAGATTCCACTACCTCCCCATCATATGGGGACATTGTGGAAGTGTAATTCAGTGATTGCTGTGGCCATGAAGTCTTTCTAAGCACAGAGCTAAATAAGAATAGTTTGAGGGCATGTTTAGTTCGGTCTACGGTACATATACTGCTGTTTTCTGAGCACCTCCCATTCCTTAATGCATTTATCCTCAGAACTCCCCCTGGGAGGTAGAGTAATGCTATTAGCCCATTTTACAGGTGTAACTGAGGCATAGGGAGACTTGCCCAAGGTCACACAGCAAGTGTGTGACAGAGCAGGTACACAAATTCAGTCCTAGAATAGCGCCCTAATCACCCTTCCTATTGGCTTGTACATTTAGTACATGGACATTCATCAGGGACACAATCTGCACTTTTTGCAAGCTAGAGAATTGCTTCCCCTCCCCCCCACAGATATGATCCTGGATCAGCAAGAACCAAGCAGTGAGTTTGATGAAAGAATGAGAGAGAGTATCCGGGATGCCCTCTTAAAAAAGCATCACCACCAGAACGAGAAGAAGAGGAACAACCTCCTTCCGATTGTCCGCTCTTTCACTGACGTCAGCAAGAAGCAGTCAGATCTACACTTATTGGACAAAACGGGTGAGGATTTCTGGGTCGCGCCTTCAGACAGCCTGACCCTTTGAGGTGGGATTTTCCAAAAGGCCTAAATCACCTAGGAGCACAAGTCCCAGCGGAGTTATCTATGACTTCACTGGAAAAAAACGGCGTTGGTTTTTTACATCATGATTAAAAAAATCATTGTAGGTTGACTGCAAAATAGGGTGACCAGACGGCAAATGTGAAAAATCGGGATGGGGGTGGGGGGTAAGACGAGCCTATATAAGAAAAAGACCCAAAAATCCGGACTGTCCCTATAAAATCGGGACATCTGGTCACCCTACTGCAAAATGAAATATTTTGCAATTTTTGCAAAGCAAAAAGTAAAAAAGAAACCCACCTTATTTCAGGTCAAACAAAATGCTCTGTTTCAATTTCAAGCATTGCATAGTAGTTTTGACTCCTTGGTGTTCATGCAATGCTGATCGCTGTGTCATAAGTATCAGTAAAGACTAACAGATTTATTTGGGCATAAGCACTGATGGGTAAAAAACCCACTTCTTCAGATGCAACCCACGAAAAGCTTATGTTAGTCTTTACGGTGCCACTGGACTCCTTGTTGTTTTTGTGGATACAGACTAACAGGGCTACCCCTTTGATAAGTATCAATGTAAAATCTTAGTGGAGACGATGCACTTTAGGTGAGGGGTATACAGCTAACCTCAAATAGCTACACTGACGTCAAAACTACCCAGGTCTTGTAAAAAATACACCTTTTCCTGCAGTGAAACTATAGCCTTTAACATGTATTAGAAATAAGAGGTGATTCTGTAAAACGCATGAAGCTATCACTTATCAAGACGCCCCAAAATAAGACTTCTTGTAATGGGACTCAGGGAAATTGGGAGGAAGTTTCTATAAGGGTTTTATTTTCTTTATTGGTCTTTAGTTATTTTGGTTTTTCATTACGGGACCTTGGGAGAAGGAGCTGGTCTTGGGCAGCTCAAAAGCTATTAATATGTTTGCTCTAGTGTCCTTTTAGCTAATGGGAGCAGTGTGTGATTACTTAGCATTCATGCAAATACAATGCTGGTCAGTACATCACATAGTACTAACTACTGTCCTGCAACTGTGTGTGTTTGCCACAAATGGTACAGAGGAAACATGCTTCCTTTGGCTTTCTGTTATCTTTTTCTTTTAGCAATGCACACACCGTCTCCTCAACCTGGCACTACCAGTCTAGAAGTTAAAAACGGAGTGACCCACGACACTAGTCCTATGGATTTAAGCAAGGTGAGATGCTACGTGTGGCTGGGTCAGTCAAGGTAAATACAAGCAATGTGCATAATTTGATGGGGCCAGATGTTTCGAGAGCTCAGCATACTGGGTGAGGAGCCCGCTTGAAAAAACTGGTCATAAATTTCATAATGGGGGCGAAGTAGAGATTGGTGACATTTTTTAGTCAAAACTTTTTTTGGCTAAAAAAATACAGATTTGGGTTGTCTGAAACCTTTTGTGTATTTGTATTGAATTTGCTGAAATGTTTCAGTTGGGGAAAAAATGGTGGAAAAAAAATTGGTTTGACATTTTCTGACTGATTCATTTGATTGGAAACAACTTTTCCTTTTGAATTTTACCTCAGTTCCAAAAATGAAACAAAAAGTTTCTTTCAGGTTGAACAAAATATTTCAGGTGACCCGAAACAATTATTTGCTCCCCATTTTTTCTGGTTTGGCCAGCAAACCAAAAAATTAATTATTTGCACAGGTCTAGTGCTCAGTGCTTTGACAGACATCCTTATTTAGATGCCTAAATGGGAGCTGAGTTATTTTGAAAATCAGATCTTAATTGTGGGTTCTGAGAACTTGAAAATCTGTTCATGAGTTCTTACAACTTGGTTTGGCCATTGGGTTGGGCCATATTGCCTTAACCATTTGTCCACTGAGATCAACCATTGACGTGTGATGCTTATTCCACATGGGAGGTTATACTGGAATAACTATATAGATTTAAATTCACTCGTTAGAGCCAGGTGAAGGTTTTTTGAAAAATAGTAAATTTGCCATTTTTCCAGGTGGTGACGCTCTTCACAAATTTGAGTTGAATTTGGCAAATAGTTTCAACAGAAACAAAAATTTTTTTCAAAAAAGTCAAAATACCCCCAAATGTCCCAAAACAAAAGTACCCCCAAAGACTTTCATTGTGGGTTGAACAAAACATTTTTGGTTGACCCAAAATGAAATGAAACCATTAGTTTCAGATCAACCAAAAAGTTTTCTTTGACCGAAATAATTTTTTTCTTCGTTTCATTAAAAAAATATAAAAAAGTTTAGTTTTTGATTGGAACTGAACTGAATTTTGTTTCAGATTTTTTTGGTTTGCCTCCCCTCCTCACCCCGAACATAATATCAAATATTAGCTCATCTCTTCTCCTTAGATTATACAGAAAAAACTTTCCCATGGAAACAAGTCCTAAGGCACCTTTATAACAGTACAACTGCATCCGCGCTACGGTTGTATCGATTTAACAATTTCAGTAGAAAAGCACCCCCTCCAACCAGAATAATTAAACCGATATAACACCTGTGTAGAGAGCAAGCCTCGAAGGTGCAGTTGTTGATCTGGAGGAGTGACTCCTAATTGTCTGAAAATTATTTCTTCATCACTAGGCGGAGCTTCATTTCATGAAGAAAATTCCTACCGGAGCAGAAGCTTCCAACGTTCTAGTGGGAGAGTTGGATTTCCTCCTTCGTCCCGTGGTGGCGTTTGTGCGTCTGACGCCAGCCGTCCTTCTCTCAGGCATGACGGAAGTCCCGATCCCAACGAGGTAAGGATGTTAAAAAACACTTTACCTTTTTTTTAAATTTAAAAATATTTAAAAAATTAAATTAAATTATGTATATATATTCAAATCAGATAAAAAAAATTCTATGGAAAGTCCCAGTACACTCAGGCCAGCTTTACTCTTATGCCTTTTATTAGCTTAGTGCACGGGTACGGGTTCCGAATGAACTCCACCCAGTGGGTGAAGTAAAGTTTTTACAGAAGCAATACACTTAGAGGGAGAGCTTTTCAGAGGCATTAATGTGCCTAAGGCCATGTCTACACTACCCGCCGGATTGGCGGGTAGTAATCGATCTATCGGGGATTGATTTATCGCGTCTCATCTAGACGCGATAAATCAATCCCCGAATCGATGCCCATAGCCCACCTCAGCAGGAGGAGTAAGCGGAGTCGACAGGGGAGCCGCGGCAGTCGACTTGCCGCCGTGAGGACGGACAGGTAAATCGAACTAAGATACTTCGACTTCAGCTACGTGAATAGCGTAGCTGAAGTTGCGTATCTTAGATCGATCCCCCCCTAGGGTAGACCAGCCCTAACTCCCATTGCAAGTCCATGAGCATTGTGTGCTAATTCCCATTGAAGTTGATTTATTGTGCGGATCCCTTTGGAAACTTCAGGCGGTTTCTTTTTGCTCTTTACCACCATTTAATAAAGGCATTTTTTTTTCTGTTTTCTGTGTCCAGGTTCTTATTTATCTTGTTGGGACCAGAAGGGAAAGCACATCAGTACCATGAGATTGGCAGGTCAATGGCCACCCTCATGACAGATGAGGTACGGTATGGCACAAGTGACAATTTCAGCTCTTCTCCTTTGCGTTTCCTTGTTTTCTGCCCTCTTCTAAATCATTCTGTCTTTCAGCCCAGGATTTAAGGGCATGTTGTACTGTCTGTTTCCAGACGGATAAGATGAAGAATGAGATCAGGATGGGTGTGTAACACTAGGGAAGTTTGTTCTCTTCCCCAGCAGCAGCCAAAATCCACATTTGCAAAATAGCTCAGCCCTCATTTAGGCATCAAAATAAGCATCCGGCTTTTCAACAACTCTGCATAATGGCCCTGATTGTGGGTGACAAATAGGCTGTCTGAACATTTTCCATTGAAACAGTTTTTTGATGGAAGGTTGAGTGTAATTCAACGAAACAAAATGTTTTACAAACAGTGTGTTTTTTGGAAAATTCTGAGATTTCGTTGAAAAACTGAATGTCTGAAAGTGGAAATATTTTAGTTAAAAGTTGAAATATAACAGCCAAATTCTGAAATATTTTGACTCTGAAATGCCACTGCAATGCCTCATGGGACTTGTAGTTCAAGCACCTCAGGCTCCCATTCTCCTCTATGTGCTGGGTTCCCCAGGCAGACTACACCTCCCATGATGCACCACGGCCAGTGACTGTCCAAGAGGGGAGGCCATGGTGTATCATGGGAGATGTAGTCTGACCAGAGAACCTGGCTTTTACAGGACAATGGGAGCATGAGGTAACCACACTACAATTCCCATGAGGCAAATCGGTGGCATTTCAGAATCAAAATTTTTTTTTTTCACTGAGCTCTTGAAATTTTCTCTGGGAATAAACCTCATTCTCTGACCAGCTCTAGTCAACTAGCACTTGACAGTCTGGCCCATTATTATTATCTTTTTGTTATTACTCAAGCAAAGCAGTGCAATCTAGTGGATAAAGCACTTGACTGGGATTCAGGAGAACTGTTTTTAGTTCCCTGCTCTGTCTCTGACCTGCTGTGCAACATGGAATCATAGGGTTAGAAGGGACTGCAAGGGTCATCTAGTCTAACCCCCCAAAGGCAGGCCACGCCAGCTTTCTGTGCCTCAGTTTCCCCTTCCTAAACTAAGCATGCCTAAACCTTACTCTCTCATTTGTAGATTTTCCATGACGTTGCTTATAAAGCCAAAGACCGTGGTGACCTTGTAGCTGGTATTGATGAATTCCTGGATCAGGTGACGGTATTGCCTCCTGGAGAATGGGATCCATCGATTAGAATTGAACCACCAAAAAATGTACCTTCCCAGGTAGGTAATATTTTTCACTTCCAGAATGAGAGAGAGACTAGAATGGCTGATGGGGATGTATGAGCAGGAACTGTACAAATGAGACCCCTGTGAAGCAGCGTGTCATACTGGACAGAGCACAGGATGGGACCTGGGTTTTGTTCATGGCTCTGCAACTGTCACCCACGCTTGGGGCAAGTCACTTCCCCCCTCTCTGCCTCAGTTTCCCCGTCTCTAAAATGGGGATCATAGCTAAGGCTACGACTTAATCATGGGTATTTTTAGTAAAAGTCATGGACGAGAAACAAACAATCACAGCCTGTGACCTGTCCATGACTTATACCATAAATACCCCTGATTAAATCTTGGGGGCGTCGCTGCCAGGGGGAAGCACACAGCACCAGCTGCTGCGAGGAGAGCCCTGGGGGCCCATGGCACCAGCTGCACAGGGGAGTGCCCGGGGGCATGCGGCCAGGGGGTAGCCAGCGGCTGCTCTGGTCACCACCATGGGGGGAGCCCCCCAGGGGACCAGCCGCTGCTCCGGCCGCCCCGGGACCGTTGCTCAGGCGGTCTCCAGGGCCAGCTGCATCGGCTGTTGCTCGGGTGGTCCCTGGGGCCAGCTGCTTGGGCAGCCCTGGGGTCAGCCACGCTGGCTGCTGCAGAATTCTGTGACTTCCTGTGACCTCCGTGACAAACACCAAGCCCTGATCAGAGCACTTCATTAGCTCACAGAGGGGTTGTGAGGATAAATACATGAAAGATTGCGAGACATGCAGATTTAAAAATTTTATTAAAGTTAATGTTTGAAATTAAATATACAGAAGTTAAGAGGGAAGGTACTGTACATCTGGGGTCAGGCTTGAGTTGTGAGGGATTACAGGGATCGGTTACAAGGATGAAGAGATACATACATTTCACATAACCAGCATAGACCCAGATTGGGGTGCGGGAGTTTTTAGAGTGTCAGTGGATAAGTGGGCTCGGGTACGCCACCCATGGAATGTATAAAGAGTCCAAGTCAGTATCGGTGTAGCGGATAAGTACATGGGTGGGGTGCATCCCTTGGTTTGTCAGGGAAGGAAGTGGGTTATTTCCCTGGTCGGCGGTCTTGATTACTCAATGTGGTTTTGACGGTGTCCTGGGATGTGTTCCGTATACATGTCTCTCGACCCCCTGATGGTGTCGGACACCATGAACTGTCTCTACTACAGTAATGTTGGCCGTATAAGTACTTAGATAGCAGAAACGGCCAGGCTGGATTCCAAAGAGAGGGGCTGGTGGAACACTGTTCTGTATGAGAGACCCTCAGCTCTGGATCTAAAAACCAGTCCAAAATAAACTGGTTGTGTTCATCTTTTATTCCTGGTGCAAAGTGTATCTGTTAGTACAAAGTCAGGTAGGGGTTCATTTGTGCAGCGGGAGTTTGGGGCTGTTTAATTCTGTATCTGGTTGTGCAACTGATGGCAGAGCACTGTATGCAAGTCAGAAGAAAAGAACAGAAACCAGTAAGTAATTGCAGCAGAGTTTCTTAATGAGGCTGGATGTTTCAATGTAGAGATGTGATTGGCAAGGTCCTAATGCTGCCCTGGATACAATTAGGGTGACCAGATAACAAGTGCAAAAAATTGGGACTTTTTCCCAACTTTTATTTTTGGGGAATGAAGGTTTAGTTGCATATCTAAGGGTATGTCTACACTACCTGCCGGATCGGCGGGCAGCGATCGATCCAGCGGGGATTGATTATAAATCAGCCCCCGAGCCCTGTCCCGTCGACTCCTGTACTCCAGCACTGTGAGAGGCGCAAGCAGAGTTGATGGGGGAGCAGCGGCAGTCGACTCATTGCAGTGAAGACACCATAATAAGTCAATCTAAGTACGTTGACTTCAGCTACTTTATTCACATAGCTGAAGTTGCATAACTTAGATCGATCCCCCTCTCCCCACCCCCCAGCATAGACCAGGGCACAGACAAAGCCCCTAATATCAGGACGGCTGATCACCCTGGGTAAAATGGAATGTGAAAGAAACAGTGTGAATAAGCTACTCCCCTGAGCGACGTAAGTTACACTGACATAACCGCTTGTGCGCACAGCGGTATGTCGGCAGGAGAGCTTCTCCTGCCGAAGAAATAGGGTCGGGATGTGGGGGCTTCCCCTGCCCACCCAGCACTCCTGCTGGGGAGCGGGATCAGGACGCAGGGGCTTCCCCAGCTCCCTGGCAGGAGCGCTGGGCGGGCAGAGCGGGGCAAGCCACCACGCCCCAACCCCGCTCCCCATAGGAGTGCCGGGCGGGTGGCGGGAGCGGGGTCGGGGCATGGGGGGTACCCATTTTTCCGGGGTCCCCCGATTGGCTGGGGTCCCTGGGCCTATGACTAATCCGCCACTGCTTACGCATGAGTATCACTTTACTTGTGTGTGTAGCGCCATTGACAGCATAAAATTAACTGCATGCATCAGTGTTTGTAAGACCAAGGCCTTAGTGTAGTGTATAGGAATTGGGTAGTACCCCTTTAAATAGTTCGGTAGCTCTCTAGTGGGCCTTTCTGTTATGGCAGAAGCCACCAGAACCTACCAGAGCAGCAGTATATACATGTACCTAGGGAATACGACCCAGTTCCTGCACACTCCACTAAGCACGGAAGAGTGTCTTACAATCAGATGCCTGGGATCTAGAGGCGAACACCATGAAGATCTCGCTCTTGTGTTTCTGTTTTAACAGGACAAGAGGAAGATGCCAGGTGTCCCTAATGGCACGGCTTGCCATACTGAGCCAGAACAGCACAGTGGACCCGAACTTGAACGAACGGGAAGGTTAGTGCGGCAAGATTTAACATTCATCTGCCTCTCCTTAAAGTTCACCCTAGAGCTTTGCGAATAATGGATTTTTTTTTGGTTGGCTGTCACCTGTCTTTTTGTTGTGTTTGTACAGCACCTTGCGCAACAGGGGGTCTGACATGCTAAGAGAATACAAATAAATAATAATTTTTTTTAAAGTCAGGGCTAAAAAGGTTTCAAGTTGGCACAATTTTTTTTTTTGGCAAATTGAAAAGTCTAGAACATTAATTTTGGGTTGAATGAAGTGTTTTGTTTAAGTTGAAGCAATTTTTTTCACACGTGTGAATGTCTTAAAAATAAAAGTAAAGGACATTTCTAAACAAAAAGTCCTTTTCAATTGAAAAATGAAAATATTTTGTTTCGTAAATGGGCTTATGGGGGGGGGGAAATGTATCGATGTGGGTCAATGCTTGTCCCACAAGCAACGTGGTTTATGACCAGTAATGCACCGTATCTCGCATAGCTGTAGGTAGGAACATTTGGACAAAGAGCCTTAACCCAGATACCACCAGGGTGCATTTTAATGACTAAAGGAAGAATATAAGCCTCGACAATAGAGCTGGTTGGAAAATGGGAAGGTTTTCTTAAGGGAAAACTTTGACTTTTTGGCACCAAATTGAAAACCTAAATATTGTACCTGAAAACCAAAATATTTCCTTTCAAGATGGTGCCTCGTGGGAGTTGTAGTTTGGGTGGCTTATGCTGCCATCTCCTTTCTGGCTGGAGCTTTCTGGCTGGACTTCATCTCCCATGATGCACCACTTTCTCCCCCTTTTGAGGGGAGTGGCTGCATCATACCACTTCGGGGTGGTGGTGTAGCATGGGAGATGCAGGTCTGCGAGAGTGCCGGGCCTCTATAGGAGAATGAGAACATAACGTAGCTGAACTACAACGCCCATGAGGCACTTTTAAAATGAAAATACTTAGGATTTCAATATTTCACAGGAAAGCTGAGATTTTTCTCAGAATTTTTTTAATCAAAAAAGGGGGAAAAATCATTTTTTTGTCAAAATTTTCCACGGGGGAAGGAGGAGCAAAACTTAGGGGCAACTCGCATTAGCCTCATGTGGCTCTTTGTTTCCCTCTAGTGGCTAGACCAGGTAGAGAGGTCCTGCAACTGTCCCTGGGCTTCCGTGCTTATATGACCCCCTTTAGTGTAGTATCTGAGTATATCCCAATGACTAATGGGTTTTATCTTCCCAGCATCTCTGCTAGGCAGAGAAGGACTGTCGCCATATTCCAGATGGGGAAATGAAATGCAGGATACCGTAGGTGACTTATCCACCGTCACGCAGGATGTTTTCTGGCTGAGCTGGGGATCGAGTGCGGTTCTTTCCCCCTAGACTAGTGGCTTATCCACCAGGCTATCGTACCTATCTATCTTTCCATGCTAACGGCTGGTTCTTTAGGTCAAGCAGTAGCAGCTTATGCTTTAAGATGTAGGGATCCTAGGTTTAATCACAACCAGGGGCGTTGTTGTATCCCGATTTCTCTCGCTGTGGGGTGAAAACAATTATTTGAACAACACTGGAACTCCTCATTATTATTGGCGTATTGGGTGACTTCGGGCAAGTCAGTTCCCCGCTCTGTGCCTCAGTTTCCCCATCTTTAAATGAGGTTACTGACACTTCCTCCTGTGTAAAGCACTTTAAGATCTCATGGAAAGCATTGGAGCGAGGCATCATTTCATTATGAATAGTGTCAGAGCAAGGTGTAGGGTGGATTGCAACACAGAGAATTTACAAGACAGCATTGCTTGTCTCTTGTTTAAAAAAGAAAATCTGCCATTGTTGTCTCCAATAGGGGGAAAAAATATCATTTTCTTTTCTTTTTTGCAGGCTCTTTGGTGGTTTGATCATGGATGTGAAACGAAAAGCTCCTTGGTTCTGGAGTGACTTCAGGGACGCTCTGAGCTTGCAGTGCTTGGCGTCTTTCCTCTTTCTATACTGTGCCTGCATGTCCCCCGTGATTACCTTTGGGGGGCTGCTTGGAGAAGCGACCGATGGACAAATAGTAAGAATATTTTTTTCTAATGTATAATGTATGATTCCCAGGAGAACAAGCTACATCAGAGAACACCAAGAGCAATCGGCATTGCATTTCCCTGCTGCTAATATGTTTTGAGTTCTATTGATTTGCCTTCTACTAGTTGAGCCTTTAGGGGGCAGGTTTTCTCCACAACCAGGCAGTCTAGGAATTTAATTTTTGTTTAAATGAAAGCTGAGATTCTGGCATAATCACTTGACTCCGGGAGCTGGTGCTTTAAGAAACCCCACCAAATATCATAAGGCTCGTGATAAACTCATGAGAGTTGGCAACACTGACTGATTTCGTGGATCTATATTAATTCACACCCACAAAGCCTCTGCCCCATGGCATTCCATGGCATGTGCTGCTTATGCTTCGAGCAGGCTAACAAAGCGTAGCTTTCAAGGTTACATTTTCAAAGCTGTTATTCCACGGGGCAGCCCGCTCCGTTTGGATAGGTGAATAACACTAACCTGGCGGAGTGATTGCTATTTAAAATTAAGATCCTGCCGTAGGTAGGATGGGAGGCATAGATAGAAGGTGATGGGTGTCTGTGTAAAACTCTCAGGGTACATCTACACTTATCTGGAGCTGGAGGTGTAGATTCTAGCTGGAGGAGGTATATCCGTGCTAGCTCCAATTGAGCTAGTGTGCTAAAAATCGAGTGTAGCTGTTGCAATAGGAGGGGCAGCAGGGACTAGCCGCTGTGAGCACAAGTCCAAAGTCTCTAGTAATTTGGTTTCCCATTGCGCTGCGTTAGACCGTACAACTCCTCAGCTTGTCTTTGCCAGTGTGACTATCTCCCCACACCCCCACAGGTTGTGTATTTATGTAAAGGTTGGCAAGAGTGTGCCATGAGCCCACGCCACTTTCATTCAGCACTGTGCATGTGTTCTTTTATATGGCAGCATTTTGCAGTCGTGAGCTGGAGTCCAGAACCCCCAGAATGGTATAAAATCTTAAGGAAGGAAGAGGCATTTGCAGATTTTACTCACTAAATCCAATACATTGCAATCCATAAACAATACTCATCCCTAGCTCTTATCTGGCACTTTTCATCAGTAGCTCTCAAAGTGCTTTACAAAAGAGGGCGTTCTCATTATCTCCATTGTACAGATGGGAAAACTGAGGCAGCGTATTTAGTTCCATCAAAAGGAATATAGGATTGTGAAGGATCTCCTTGGTCACTGACTGAAGTCTCTTAGTACTACACCCATATGCTTATTGCTGTTTAGTCATGTAAAATGCAAGCAAAGAGACGCAAATTGGGATTTTCAAACCAACTAAGGGATTTGGGTGCCAGATTCCCATTAAAAATCTGGCCGGGTGTTAGTCTCTTTTGAAAATAATCGCATGAATTCTCCATTAAGGTCCTGTACAACGCTCTGGCAGTGTAGACTCAGCTTAAAATGGTGTGAATATAGTTTACGCCCACCTAAATGAGATTCAGACCCAATGTGTATAAAACTTAAAGATGGAGGAACATTTATCTGTTGCTTGCTTGTTTGTTTTTAACTTCAGAGCGCAATAGAATCCTTATTTGGTGCCTCGATGACTGGAGTTGTATACTCTCTGTTCGCTGGACAACCCCTCACTATCTTAGGAAGCACTGGACCGGTGCTGGTGTTTGAAAAGATTTTGTTCAAGTTCTGCAAGTAAGGCCGTGTGCGCTTTAGAATGTACAGAATTGATGCATGTGGCCAGGTGGCAGATTAAAAGAATAGCAGGGAAAATGTGTATTTAAAAAAACCAACGCAAATGTAAGATGCAGTTTTATTTCCTCCTTGGAAATAAAACATTGCTGCTTTCACGAGTGATGGTGTAAGACTGGAATAGTGTGAATAGATTTAATAAAAATTGGAACAGTGAACAAAACACGGACTTTCATGAGCCATGAATGTGTTGCTCATATGCTTAAAGTTACGCACATTCTCAAGTTCCTAGCCCCCCATCCCCAAATGCTTGTCTCTTCCACTTCTTATGTCCTGTCTTTTAGGTCTGGATCCTGGAAACACTTATGCACATGCTTAACTTTAAGCATATATCTAATAGAGCTGATGGAAAAAGTGGTCCCCCCCCCATAGAGAATATTGATTTTTGAGTAGAAATTTGAATACTGAAAAACTTTGTCCACAAAGTGAAATATTTCATTTTTGGCTGACATATTTTGCTTTCCAAGCATTTAGTTTTTCTGCAGAAAGCAGACACTTTCATTAAAAAATAATTAATTGGAAATCCGAATGTATAATTCTTAAATTCAATGGGACTAGTTACTATGGCTGGTAGGAATTTTTCCATCCAAAAAAAAAAAAAATTTCTAGAGAAACTATCAATAGAAATTGGTTTTTTTTTGGATGGAAAATTTCCTACCAGCCATAGTAACTAGTCCCATCGAATTTAAGGATTATACATTCTTAATGTTATGCATGTGTGTGTTTGAAGACGGTGAGCTCTTAAGGGCAAGGACTGAAATTTTAATATAGAAGTGTACAGTGCCTGGCTTAATTGGGCCACTGCTAGGTTGATTAATAATAATAATAATAATAATAATAGATTTGAGCTCTTCTCTGCCTGGTCTACACCCTTGATTGGTGGTAGTTTGCCTGGAGAGCAGTGATGCACTTAATTGGTCCTCATAAGAGTCTTAATGCATGAATAAAATCCTTCCCAATTTCCTGTGCCGTTCACTGAAAACTGTGCACGTGTTTGCTTATTCTGACCTTTGGCGCTTGTCCCTGGCTCCTTTTTGCAGAGACTACTCACTCTCCTACCTTTCCCTGAGAACCAGCATTGGACTGTGGACTGCTTTCCTGTGCATCGTCCTTGTGGCAACAGACTCCAGCTCCCTAGTATGCTACATCACTCGCTTTACTGAAGAAGCATTTGCTTCTCTGATCTGTATCATTTTCATCTACGAAGCGCTAGAGAAACTGATTAAGCTGGGGGTGACCTACCCCATCCACATGCACAGCCAACTCGACCACCTTACCTTCTACTAGTGAGTTCATCTTGGTTTTTTTTTTTCCTTTTCTTTTCTAAAGCTACTCTCA